CAGTTTAATTTTATGTGACTTTAATAGCCTATATAATCTAGTCGACAACTCAGAAAGCTTTTGTGACAAATAAAGCAAGATAAAAATAATTAAAAGACGTTTACGTTCTGTCTCAGGACTTAAATTTCCTACACAGTAAGGTGAAATAATTTTGTCACAATGAATTAAGTAAATAATCATGATAACTTTTCTTCACTTCACACTTTATTTATTACATCAAATCGGTCTCCAAGCTGAACTAATTCCAGTTTATCTTGTAATTCAGCGGCGACATAATTGCGCGTCGTAGGCGAAATATAAATTTCTCCATGGATGTTATTCTCCTAACTGATAACAAAATGTTAAAATCTTACTTCTTACTAATATTATAAATGCGAAAGTTTAAATAGATGGATGGATGTTTGTTAGAGTTTGTAGCCTTAACGGCAGAACGGATCTCCATGAAAATCGGCACAGATGTAGACCATAGTCTGGAAGAACACATAGGCTACTTTTTACCCCGGAAATATTTACGGTTCCCGTGGGAGTCATTAATTTAGTTTTTTAATGTTTACTCGATTATTGTGCAACGGTTCAACAAATCTTATTGAAATTTGGCACAGATATAAAACAAAGTCTGGAGTACATATGGGATAAGGTTCATTCCCGAGAAATGTCCGGTTTCCGAGGGATACGTACGTTTTTGTTATTTATATAGTTCGTATGTTTTCTATTACCTCGCGGACGAAGTCGCGGGCAACAGCTAGTGTTTGATATATTATACAGGTTTTTAGTGAAAATATTATAATAAAGAGAGATTGAAACTTCGTTGTCCTTAATGATTTATTAGATTATGCATATGTTGATGTAAGCTATACTCTTAGTATAATTAAATTAATATGAGTATGAATTAATATTATTTGTGTTATCAAACAATTCAATTCATTTGACCATATTTCAATAGACGTTTTGAGCCAATCAATTATTGTTATTTTAATAATAAACAAACTATTCGCAAATATTTTCTTATAACTTTTGACCATAAACAATTTTGAGTTATTAAAATTCTTTCGATGTAAATGCTAATCTATAAATACGTAAGTGTATTCAACAAGTTAGAGATCGTACGAAAATATTCCAAAGTAAATATTTCGAAGTTGTCGGTTGACTTTTTGACCTTGACATTTACAAGTGTACGAAGATCCGTCTACAAGTGAATTCAATTAGCTATGTTATTTTCACTTTTATATACAACAATCAATAACTTTTAATATTTATAAGTCATTAAACCAAGTACTTTTAGCATATTGCAAAAAATTCTTTATTAAAATTATGTATAAATTTAAAGTGACGTTAAAAAGATACCAAGGAAATAACTTTTTAGAAACATGTTAATGAATTCAAATTAAAATGCTTAAAAACTTGAATGTATTTTTAAGATTTAATCTAAGCAGATTCTAATAGGAACAGTAATAAAACTTACAACGAAAAAAAAATATCAAAAGTTGATTACGTTTCCACAAAATAAGATTTTTTCCTACGTACTTTCTTATTTTGTGATACTTAATTAAGTTTTACACAAAACTAAGTTAATTGAAATTATATTAAATAATTATTATTTCACTTCGCTGTATTCAGTTATTTTTAAACCAAGATATAATATAAAAATAACCTACCTTATAAATCCCGTCCACAAGTTTCGTAAGTTCTTCAGTCTCCATCGCGTTCGATTTTCAGAGAACCAAACGTCAACAAGTTACACGTGAAACTTCATCGGGAAACAAATATCAAAAACAAAAGTGAAACTATATTTTAACACTCAACACTAAATTCACATTTCATTACACCTTTGCACAATATTTTCTTCTCAACTGTACACAGATCATGTACGTAAAAGCTTCACGGACATCTGAAAAATAGAAAAAAAAGTTAATAATCGTTCCATATTTAAATTAAATTAAAAGTGACTTAGGGTTGTCACCTGTTCGATATTTGAATTGTAGAGGCGTGCGCTCTGAGCGAAGTGAACGTGTGGAATCACCTATCGCTCGAGTATCAGCCGTGTCGATGTTTGGAAATACAGTGTAAACGAGACCCGGCTTTGAGACGTTGATGTCTAAACCACATCGTGTTTACTGTTAGACACTTAATTGTTTAGATAGGCGGGAATTCGGCTCGTGTTTTGCAACATAAATGACCTACATATAAAATATTTAATTTGTTGTCGTGTAAATGAATTTTAATCGCCAACTTTCACCTCATCTTTGGATTATTAATGCTAGTCATCTGTATTCATGATACAAATGTGATTAATGTGATATCACGAAGAGTTTTAAATCAAGTATCACCCAAGTTCCCGTTCGTATCATCAAAGTCGGTTTTCTTTTAATTAAGCTAACGAACGTATTTACATACGGAAACATAATACGGCTGCCTGATTTCCCTGAATGATTGAACGAACCTATTTGATATATTATTTCATGTTCTGTAATTTAACAAAAAAAGATAAACCTAAATAAATCCCATTTATTGACTCTCCTATTCTTATCTATTTCAAAACATTCGAATATTATCCAACGTTCTGTCTTCATAACTAACGACTTAGAGGATCAAAGATAATTTTTGTTTTATTATTAGGCATTTTTCAGTACAAACGTTTAAGTACAAACGGATCTTATATATAAATAGACTGGAAACATTATACTTAGGTATACTTAAGTTCGTGACACAAAACATTACTTGCCTCTTACGAAATATCTTCAATGCCACAAGCTCAATTTGTCATAAGCACTCGATTTGTGTGGCAAGATAACTACGCCCTAACAGCTCACAACAAAATAGCAGTTTGTATTGCCTTGTATTTTCATTATACAAAGTAAAGTTTTAGCCCCTGATCCTTCATTGTTTCCTAGCGAGTTAGTATTATTTACATACTTAAGTGTATAATCCGATTTAGACTTTTTTATACTTCTGTCCCTTTTCAACCTTATCGCACACGGAATTGATGGGAAGGGAAGGTGCATTTCGCGGGAGACGGAACGCATAGGTAGGTGAATTATTCTCTATCTGTGCGTCTTGTCCTCTATTGTGTCCTTCTATCTATGGGCAATGGTCGCTTCGCTTATTACTATAAATAAAAATATCTTTAAGTCATCTTTTTTTCATTATAAATCGAATTAATCAAAGCTTCATCTCTACGTTTAGCTTTTAAAAATACCTATTATACTAGTTTGCATACGTTTCACACGAAGTCGTGATCAAACGTTTTTCCATAAACATCTCAGTTACGTGGCTTATATTCTAATGAGTTATAGCAGTCGACGTCGGAACGAGTGTGAGCGATGTTGTAATTTGCATACTTATACAAGCGATGCACTCAGTTCAATTTAATCGTATGCATAACCCGCCCACACTTGCCAGTTGCCTTAATAGATGCTAATGCTTACACACGAGGGCAGAGACAGTGTAGTAGAGTAGACAGTACTGCTAGTACTAAACGCAAACTTCTGTTACAACGGTACAAGTCCATCATGGCATAATACGTGCAGCAGCCGTACTGAACTATCTATTGCTCTACCTCACCGTTACGACCTCGTGTGAAACAGTGGAACAAGAGACTGCATTATGCCGTTCTGATAAGTTTTTAACTATTTTAATATTGTTATGACTGACTGCAAACATGCAAAATTAAGGTAACTTCATTCAAATATGGCACGTATGTAAGATCGATATTTGTTAGTATAATAATATTTAAATCCCGACATTATTCCTCTTCTCCTTAAGGTGCCTCTACGGTGGTCAGTTTTCCACATTATGAAAGTTTGTTTATAATTAAATTATGATAAAATACTTGTATGATAGTATAAAGTTTAAGCACAGTTTTACAGACAGAAAACTCCGTTTAACAGCGTCTTTTAAATTTAGTTTTGCAAAAAAAGAGTTTTTATTTCATAGCTGACGGAAGCGGGAAATATGCGATAAAGCAAGTCTAGTAAGCAATTCTTACAGGCGAGTTTGGAAGTTTTGCTCGCGTCACACGGCATAAGAAATAAAACACAATTCCTGAACGGATCCGTAACTTCATTTTGAACGAGAGAGATTTGCTTCGTTCCCTTGCATATGCAGCCGCACGGGACATACGAACAGCTTCCTACTTTTCTTTCCCCCGAAGCGTAAGGAAACAAGTGTGCTACGGTTGCTTATTTCAGTCGGAACTTGTTTATTCCGGATTGAACTAGTAAGATTCGCATTTGGGCGGATTTTGTTCCTAGCAATAGGACAATATAAACTTTATTAAACTAACAACAAAAAATACTCTTATTTCGCCAACCTTGACGCGTATCAAGAGGATGTTTCCTCTTCTTATCCGTCCTCTACTCTGCCAAATCAATTTTTGTCTTCCCCTAATATCCTTATAAGAAAAAAGAGGGAAAAGAAAATGAACTAATATTAGGACTCCGGTATGCAATTACTTGGTTTCATTAGTTTAGTATATGTCCATGTAAATCCTTGTTCATTCTAAAATATCCTCCTGTTAAACTTAACGAACTTGGCCGTTCCTTCGTCATTCATATCTAGTACGGGTCCTATTTTAAGATATTACGGTATTATAAAGTTGGACTCGTGTGCCAAGATTCAGAAGAG